GCTTATTTACTGAGTGTGAGAAAAACTCATGATTGACTATCTCCTACCTGCTCCTTTTCTTAAGACTTTAAAAATGTTTTGAAAGTAATTGAGTTAAGATTATTGATTGAGAAGGAAACAAAATCAACACAATGAAATGTAGGAACAGAGATGCAAGAGAAGCTGCTTAATCCTACGCCTTCCAGCCCGAGCAGCACGGCATAGACATGTGGATGACCATACCCTCCCTCTTTCCCTTCCAGCCATCTTTTCCCCTTTAAGTACTGAAGCCCACAAAATCATCTTGGGACCACAAGCTTTTTCTGTGATTGTGTGTGTGTGTGTGTGTGCGCGCGTGTATGTGTTTGTTTTTTCAATTTCTGGTCATGTTCTTAACCTCGGCAAAATAAACTTTTAAATCAGTTGAGACCTGTCTCAGACACCTTTTGGTTTACAAATTGGTGACCAACTAAAGAGACTCTGAGTGGAGGTGCCCCTGACCTTTGATGAATCTCCTGTGGGTGTTTGGTCTGGCTTGGGCTATCTTTATTTCTCAAACCTATGGGACAATTTGCTGAGTCTTGGGAGCTTCCCCACTCCAGAGAATCCCTGATCTCCCCCAAAACTGGGTGAGATCTAAGGTTTATTTTGCCTTACAACTCCTTTTCTGGAGTTTTACTCGCTTCCAACAAGGAAGGTAAGTTTGTTTTCCTGCTTTTGATGACATTGGAAACAGGAAAGTAAGTCCTTCCTGGAATTTCCACTTACTTGCAACAAGGAAGTTGAGTTTGAGGTTTTTTTCCTGCTTCTAAGATGGTAGAGAGCAATCTTCAGCCTGGGACCCATTCCTAGGTAAGTAGCTGAGTTGGGATACTGTGTTGAAAATTCTCCTTACTGACTAAAAGTTAAGACTGATAACCTGCTGGTCTTAATTTCTCCTTACCATTAGAGCGTTCAGTGGGGCAGGTGGTGACACAGAAACCTTCAAGGTCCCTTTGACTAAATGCAGACTATGTCAACTTCTCAGAGGCCCTGAGGAACACGTACATATTGGCTCCTTCAGTTTACTGCTTCACCAAAATCTCCAAATAGCCATCCTCAGTCATCCAAAAAATACAGCTATATGAATAAGAAGAATAATCATATTGTTTGTTTTTTTGGGGTTTTTTTTTTTTTTTTTTTTTTTTTTGGTCTTTCTCCCATTGGATTTGACCAACTGTACTGGGCTTGGTCAAATCTGGATAATAATTCCAAATTATGGAGAATGAGGCCTCTGAATTGGCTAAAATCCCCCACAGCTGCAAAAAGAAAAACAAAAAAACAGGCTCTTGGTTTCTCTGTTCACTTCCTTTCTTAAAAATTGTCGTTTTACTTGCTTTTCTTCCGTCCTGTTGCCATCTTCAGTACCAAGTGAAAGAAAGATCTAGAAAAGGCTTCTAATAATTGGGATCCCTTAAAGAGCTCAGGATAAAGGCACCACTCACTCCTTTTAGGGCTGTTCTTCTTTCTTTGTGGAGTTTCAACAGTCATGGGCAGATTCTTCTCATGTCTAAAGCTCTTCTGTCTTGTATTGCATTACCTGGTTTCTTTGGCTTTGGGGGGTACCAGAGATTACCTTGTACTGTGAGAGGATCAGACTTTTGTGTATGTAATGGCAGACGACAGCTACAATTTTAGGGGTGGCTGAGGATAGTTGACAGGAAATGGTCATTACTACAGGGAGATACTCCTTTCTTCACACATTTGGATAAGAACATTGTGGTTTAGTCCTTAAAAAATGCATGCTTTCTTGGCCCCATTCCCCAAAGAGCTCTACCCTAAAGCCAGTCATCTAATCAAGCTAAGTTAAAAGACCACCTATCATTAGCCGGGCATGGTGTCGGGCCCCTGTAGTCCCAGCTACTCAGGAGGCTGAGGCAGGAGAATGGCGTGAACCTGGGAGGCAGAGGTTGTGATGAGCTGAGATCACGTGACGGCACTCCAGCCTGGGCGACACAGTGAGACTCCGTCTCAAAAAAAACCCAAAAAAACCCAAAAACAAACAAACAAAAAAACACCTATCAAATTAAGTCACTTTAATAAAAACATTTTGTAAAGAAAATTTACATCATTAAAGGAAATCTCTGTTTTGTAAGGAATCTCCGTCTCTGCATCTGTACTGCTAGGAACCTTAACTGGGGGAAGACAATGGCTTAAAGTTTACATAACAGACCTTGACTTTGTTTAGGTCTAAGTCTGTGCCTTTGAGACGCACATTTTCTACCCTGTTTCACCGAAGCCGTGTCTTTGGAGTTGTACATTTAGAGTTGCTTAGTTAACAATTATTTTGGACGTGGAACAGATCATCAGGAGATTAATAATCTAAAGTAGGGAACAGAAAAATTTTGAAAACACACCAATATCTTCCTCTGTCTGTGTCCATCTATAGAATTATATGTGTCATGTGGAAGTGATATTTCTCAACCAAGTTATATGAA